ACACACACACACACACACACACACACACACACACACACACACACACACATATTTTCTGTCTAACGAGCGCTTAGGCGCGAAACTCAGAGTCACAGAGAATCGATGCGTCCTCTTTAATTCTTTAACTTATGTATACTTAGCTCTCCTACCACAGCATTGAGCACTTTATGCCAAGGTAGACTCTACCTCCCATATTTATAAATATATCTATATACATATATGTCTAAATTTTTTTTCTCTCGGGATTGAATTTGAGTTGTTTTCATCAGCTATTTATCGCAAGGATTCTTTAAGGTGGCTGAATACAGTTTTCCTAAGTTCTGATCGGTAATATTCAGAGCGCGTACTTCCAACCCTCCCCTTTTTACACGTTTGTTGACCAATGGATGAAAGTTTGAAATGGTTGGCGTGCCGTGGCAATCGTGGTTAATACCCTAATGTTACGGGAAAGCCCATTAACGGTCTCAAAAACTTCTCAACCTACTACCTCCAGCTGTTTTAAAATTGATACCCACAGTTCATTCAGTTGTTGATTTATCAGCTGCGAAATGATATTGTTAACGAAAAGAGCTCCGAATTCACTTATATGTAACAATTTATATTTGACTCGTGCGACGCATTTGTGGTAAGTTTTAACTAGCAAAATTTGAAACCAATTCTTTGTATCGATGAAAATAACACAGTTACTATGGTTACATAATAAATCGCGCCGAAAGTCAATACCCATTTTCGGAGTACATTTAGCCTCTTTTCACGGCAAAGCGAGTCCTGGTGCTCATCTTCATTCACATGAAAATTAAACTCTTTTTTACAAGAATGGTTAAGCATCAGGCCTCGTTTTGGAAAACAGGTCAGAGGTAATTCGGAAATGGCCTATTGTTTTAGTATTTCATCAGTGTTTATATTCTATGGCCGGATATCATATGGCTGCTTGTATTTTTAAGCACTCAAAGAGAAATTTCGTATCTCTAACCGGCCATGTAATTTTCTCAAGCGGCCGTATACTATAGGATATTATACGGCCATGTAATTTTCTCAAGCGGCCATATAACATAGGATATTATACGGCCGCTTGTATTTTTCAGCACTCAAAGAGAAATTTCGTATCTCTAACCGGCCCTGTAGATTTCCCTATTTCTTTCTTACCAATTTGTTCAACAATGATGTTAGCATGTTCGACTGCGTAACCAACAGCATTTCCCACAATGCAAGTGTATTTTCCCTCGTCCTTCTTTGTGACATTCACCAAAGTCAACTTCACACCGTGGAAATCAAACGTTTTTCCGTTACTTGGTGTCACAATTACATTTTGGTCTGTGTCGTCTTTATTCAAGATTTGGTAGTGTGGCCTTTCAATTGCACCGTTGGGTGAACTGTTGGCCGAACCGTTGGTACGCATGGGAAACCACCTTAACCACTGGAAATGAGGCATGGAATCACTTAATGCTTTGCACGTTAAGCTGGCATTTTCTCCTCTTTTAACAGTGACATTTTCCATGGGTAGAACCACTGGTTCAGCACGAACTCGTTCTAAAAAAATTACCAAGGGAATACTGTCAATGTAATGCAAAAACATCCAACGTTTCGTTATTTGCAATGTTAATTTCAATTTGGTTTTTTTGAAAGGGGTTTACATTGACCACAAGAGTTTGAAGATTGTTTTTCTGAGATAAAGAAAACCTTAAGTACCTTTCAGTCTGTATTAGCCAGGAAAGTTTGAAGGACTTTTTGTGCTTACCATGAACATCTAATTCGTAGGTATGATTAATCCATCCATACGAGTTGCTCACAATACACATGTATGACCCAGTATCGGAGGGAACCAAGTCCTTCAGACTCAACAAGGTTGTCCATTGACTCAAATAGAGTTTCCTGCCACCTTTCCTTTCCTTAAACAATTTTCTGTCTTTGTACCATTCTACTGTAGGACGAGGGTTTCCATCGGCAGAACAATCCAGCTTTACAGAGTTGCCAACGGGTAACGCAAGAAGGTTGCGCCTCATCTTGTATTGCGGCACTGTGAATATTGGAGCATCTGTGAAGCACAGAACAGCCACAGGATTTGAGTAATGATTTTGTCGACAGCTGCCCCTTATCTGGCCCTTACTAAGACATTTTAGGTTACAGCTACAGATGAATTCTCAACATTATTTTACTCTAAGTGTTCTACAGTACTGGTTCAGTACGGTGATGCTTCACGTAATATATCAAAACCAGTGGACCGCTACATGGAGAGAGATTTTCAAATATTTGCATTGGAGAAAGAGCGTTTGTATTCTTTTCTTTAATATTCTAGCTAGATTAAGGTATTTAAAAAAATAAAAAAATAAATTGAAAAAGAAGAAGAAGAAGAAAGGATTCGCTTTAGGATTCGTTGCTCGATGACGAATATCATCATGCAGCCAATCATTTGTCATACTTGCTGTTGCATTTTCAATGAGTTCTAAGAGGATGAGGTCAATCCAGTTAAAAGCTAATGGCTTTTTATTGGTAAATGAAAGGCTATTAGAAAGGTTTTCGATTTTATCCATACACTAATCTTTGGAAATACCACATATTAAGAGGGGATGGAGATTTTACTGAGATGGGGAAGCTTACCAACAAGAGTAATTCCGGGGACAGGACTTCCTCTCATTTCCTCTCGGTATCAAACAATGTAATTTAGTTGAACTTATTTCGCGAGCTGGGAACAGCTCACTTCCTAAATATAAATGAAATTATTTTATGTGGTCTTCGTTAGATTATTAATCTCTGAGAAGCGTATCTCTACGAGTTCCTTTTGGGTCACATGGTTGGTAAACAATGACAATTTTTTTTTGTTTTTTTGGTTTTGTTTTTCTCTCAGCCTTCTCTATAGAAGTCGGTAATCGGCTCTTCCCTTTCTTTTTTTGTCTTTTTTTTATCATGAATAAGGCGGAATATCTTGGTCACACTGAGGGTCTAATTAAGAGTTTCGGATCCAACCTCTCACCACCTTTGCCTCTTTAGAGAATTCTAAACTCTGTTTCGATGTTGTTTTCTGTAAAGTTTAGGCCGGATGCGATCTACAGTATAGAACTAACGGGTACATTAAGAAGGTTGCGCCTCAGCTTGTTTTGCGACACCGTGAACATTGGAGCAGCTATGAAGCACAGAACAGTCACAACATTTGAGTAATGATTTTGGGTTAGGGTTAAGGTTCCTGCAAATGTGGGTTTTGCAACTTTCTCACTTTTACAATCTACCCATGGACGAAGCCACTTAAGCTATCGTTATTGAATTTTACCATCAGTTTTGTGAGAAGTTGTTGAGAAACAAACGGACAGTTTGTCGCTCCGTATTTTTAACCGCCCAGCAATGTATTACCGTGGCATATTTCGTGCGTTCTCTCTTCCAAGTCTTTTTTTTTATTCCCACGTCGGAGACGGAGATATGACACTAGTTTCTCGATTCTTGATGCGTGTGCGCGAGTTATGAGCCGGGAGGATGACCACGCATTTTCCTTCAGTCAGCCAGCTGCCGGTTGAAAATAGGTTTTTTTTGCGGGATCTAATTCGAGGGGTTTTTTCAAAGCTATTAATCTTCAGCATTTAGACAAAAAGGAAAGGTGACCTGATGCTTTAAAATATTCACACTACAACGTCCAGTTATATTTTCAAAGATGCAAGTTGCTGTGCAAAAAATAACAAAAAAAATTATTCTGAAGTCTGCCAAGAAAATGTATCACGTTGCAACATCGTGTGAAAATTACCCTAAGAAAGGAGAAAAGCATTAAAAGTGTTACGAAGTGGCCAGAAAAAGTAACTCGTACACATCTGTCGACTAAATCTTTGACATACATTTCATAGTATATTACATACCTCTGACTAAGAGCTGCAATGTATAGGAATTTTTTCCGCAGTCGTTTACCCCGACACAGGTGTAAAAGCCAGAGTCCTCTTTCTTCGCCCATTTTATCTTTAGGTATCTGTCTGGTTTTAACCTCATGCGTTGATGATCTGATGGAATGAGCGTCTGATTATCTTTGAGCCAGTAATACCTTGGTTTTGGGGTCTGAACGGTAGTTCTGATGTGGCAAATGAGTCTTACATCTTTCCCGCTAGTCACCTGGATGACCTTTTTACCGTTCCCGTTCTGGTGACGGATGTAAGGGACTGAAAAAGGAGAGCTATTTCTATAAGTTCCACGTCTGCAATAATACAAAATTATATAGTCATGTCCAAGTTCGTTTAAATCTAAATAAGCTTTCTTCTGGTCTTTACTCCTTGCATTCTTGAACAGCAATGGTTTAGCCGATGAGAGCCTGCAAGTAGGCTAAGGAACGCTAAGTAATAGCTAACAGTTGCGATCATCAAGAATCGAGAATATCGCATTTCTTCCGGAATAAGCATTTGTGTGCCTATTTTTACTCTAAATTTCGGTTGAAAAGGCGGGTGTTTATAGGCAGAAGGGCGCTTAATTAAGATTTTTTTTCTTCGAACGCATCCCAATAACTTTATCAGTGAAAATTACTGGTCCTCGAAGACTAGTGAATGGTCTAGTTGTCTAATACAAACAAGTATATTGTGATGGAAGTGCGGTTTTAATTAAAATTTACGTATTTTACGTATGTCCCATTCCAACCCACATATCCCAAAAATAACTCCTGCATGCGTAGCATGCCTATGCTTTTTAAATACAGTTGACAAGTAGCACTACACGCGTTACAAAGAAGTCGCCAAAATAGCGTGAAAACAATCGTAAGCGACAAAGCAGCTGTGGAAAAGGGGTAACGAGACTCAACACGCTATATTCCTCCCTTTTATTATCCTTTATCAGTTTAATTATTTTTTCATAATCATCACTTTTTCAACGGCCCACGCTTACGCTTAAAATTTGATCTTAATGACCTTGAGACTCCAAAATCACACACAGTACGCTTGGGCCGCTCGTGCTCTGAGGGGCACAAACGTTTCCATACAAAGCCTTGTGGATTTGAGTAAAACATTTCTTCGAATATCTCCCGCACGAAACATCGCACAGACCTGAACCTTTGCGAAACTGTTTGAATATTCATCTTCTTTTATCGCATTGATGCTTGACTTTATTTGCAAAATGATTTTGATGATGGTGCGACGGTGAAAACCATCAATTCTATACTAAAAATCACTCATAGCAAAGTGTATCTTTGAAAGCGGACACTGAATTACAAATTTACGCGGAGAAATAGAAAATTAATTCACTTGAATGTTGTTGGGTACCTCGATTACTTTTCAGCAGGCTTATCGCGCTAGCACGTGCCACTTTAGACTC